GAGGTGTACCGATCTCTGGACAAACTTGTCCCATGTCGGAGAAGATGCACAAATCACACGTGCCTTATTTTGTTTATTTTGGTGCTGAGGAATGGACCCATACCCAAATCATCCACATGAATCATCCACATTTGCAAATGGGTCAAAACCCTGGTACCTAACCCCAAGTCATAGCTGGTATTTATGGACGTTCATCCCACTAAAATGTATCTATAGGTATTGACCCATCCACATTTCATCCACATGAATCATCCACGTCCCCTGTGTGGCTCGCCGGGTAGCAGTTGTTCAGTGGCGTCGCGCACGGCGCTTTTCGTGCCGCACAGCAGCCCCACTGGGTACGCGCGAAGCAGGGCCTGGTGACACCGGTGACGGTCCAGGGGATCACCGGGATCACCGGTGCCTGGAGGCTGGAGTTGGGAAACATATGGGTAACAGTAACGAATGATATCAAATAAATATATATATATAGTAACTAGTATTCTATAGTCATCTTGGGAAGTTGAACCAATCAATGATTTTAAGCTTATCAACATGGCTTAATTCATATGGTAGTCATATAGTCGTCATTTTTGAGTCCATACGCCCAAAACAATGGTGGCCATCTGTCACCGATATCATCTCCTCAGGCCGCAGCAATTCATGGATAGATGGATAGAAACTATGGCAGAAACGGATTTTCATGGACAAACACAACTAAGCCTTGAAATTACACTTGTTATCACTTGTTACTATTATCGATTAGTGAAATGACCAAGTGGTTCTGCCAGTCCAACATTTGTTAGCAGCAGATGTGGAAATGGACAGCAATGGGTAGAGACTTTGGACAACTTTAGACCACAGTTGGTGAACACCTGACATTTGGTGAAGAAGTTGGTGAGGTGAACATGTCTGACGTGTGGACATGTCTGACACGGTGAAAGTGTTTGCGGAACCTGACATGCCCATGTCATTGAGTGTCCCCCAAAAAGTAGTCATAAGACATAAGAGTCGATGAGGCGATGTACCCTAATCAACAAAGAGCAAGACGGAAACACAATGGTATCAATGGGAATTTCAGGATCCTAAAATGGAGGTACTGTACTGTATAAGGCCATATTTTGTGGGGATATTCCCTTACATAGGCCTGAAAAATAGGCCTTATATATGGTAGGTACCTCCAATCTAGGATCCTGAAATGGCCATTGAGTGGTATGTCCAAAGAACAGGAACCCATGGTCTATTTCAGTATGATCATAATCTGGTTTCTGAGTGGATACGAGTTCCAAGTCGTTACAAGATACCCATGGCAATGGACAACCTTTATGTTCCATCATTTTAGGTAGGACATATCATCTACACATGTTGGGTTTTCCGTTCTCAGGTCAAATGACCAAAGGGTATCCCACTCCCAATTTCTTTGGCTGGTTGCTTGTACTTACTGGGCATTCCCGCAATGGATGATCATATCATATTCTGTAAATAAAAACAACACAGTGAGTATATACTACCCCCATATGACAACTAGTCTGGCTGAATCTCACCATAACTTACCAACCAGAAACCTTTGGCGATTTGAGGATGGTTCCCTGTAGCCATAATCCACAGTGATGTAGGCCGGGGAGGGCATGAGTAGATTCCCTCAGACGAGTGGTATCATTTGTACAGCACGATTGCATTCTATCAACCAGAGTTACAGTGTAGTAACCCCCAAGAAGAAAGCTAATTCATCACTATTTGAGTACCCAGCGCCGTCTCCAGGAAACTGGTAACGAACCCCCTTTTTTTTGCTTTTATTAAGGGTTTGGGGTGGGGGATGTTAACGTTCCTGTCAACTTGCTCATGTCATGCATGCTTCGTGAACTTCGGGGTTTGGGTGGGGTGGGGGGGATGTTAGCGTCCCTGTCAGCTTGCTCACGTCATGTATGCTTCATGAACTTTGGGGTTTGGGTTGGGGGGGATGTTAATGTCCCTGTCAACTTGTATGCTTCGTGAACTTCGGGGTTTAGGTGGGGGGGATGTTAACGTCCCTGTCAACTTGCTCACGTCATGTATGCTTCGTGAACTTCGGGGTTGGCTGGGTTATATATATATACATGTATACATATGAAAGTACATTCACATTTAGATACAAATATAAATATGTATATAAACATATGTATTACTACCTATATATTTATTTTCACAATTATACATATATATATACATATATATATACATGTATATATATATAAATATATATACATATATATATATATACATATATATATACATGTACATATATTCTTTTACATATATATATATATACATACATATATATATATCTCACTTACGTGTATATATATATCACATATACAATACATATATATATATTTATGTCTGTTTAGACATGCGGAATCAACTTGTCGGGGAATGTTAGGGTCTTCACCTTTCTTTTAAATAACTAATATCTGCAATGTCTTCAAAATTAAGCTTGCAACGCTCGGTGATGCAAAAAGGCTCAAAAAAGCACCAGTTGCCCCAAGACGGCGCGACCTTTTAGTAGGAATAGGTCGCTACAAACCAGTGAAACCGTACCACCCAACTAATCCCATCCCCCTAACATTGAACAGCCCCATTCTATTGTCCCGAACACATGTGGTTTCATCCTCTATCAAACCATGGTTTCTTGGGGGTGTTTAATGTGAACGGGGGACGGGATTATTAATCATAATCACCAATAAATGAGCTAGTACAAGTCCCATGAAGTTCACCAATCAACCAGGCTAGGCGGCTAGAACTTTGATAGTAAACCATCAACATATCAGTGATCATATATGGGTGCTACAAACCATCAAAATATTGGTGGCTTATTATTGCTTTACAAGCATTGCAATCACTCTGAAATGGTAAACTCAATGATAATTATAATAGACCAGGATATAACCAGGATATGGGTATGGATCAATACCTATGAAAATACCATTTTTAGTGGCTTATTCACATCCATTTTAACCCAGCTATGACTTGATGTGAACAAAAAAGGGGTACTATTGGTTTTGACACACTGCCATATACCCTCTGGTAATTTAACATAGCTATAGAAAATCACCATTATTAATGGGAAAATCCACTATATGGCCATTTTCAATAGCTATGTTAAATTACCAGAGGGTAACTTTAATGGCTCAATCATTAAATATAGCAACCAGCTGCTTGCGGCACGCCTCCCCTGGACTGGGTCGAAGTTCGCTATGACTGAGCACCTGAAAGAAACGGGAAGATAGGGATGAAGATCCCAATTTGATGGCCATCAAATATAGTACCCTCTGGTAATTTAACATAGCTATTGAAAATGGCCATTTATAGTGGATTTTCCCATTAAAAATGGTGATTTTCCATAGCTATGTTAAATTACCAGAGGGTAACCTCTAAGAAAGATAGAACACCGATTTATCACTATGCTATTGGCTTTTATTTACTTTTCCCATCTTTTTGGGGGATGACTATAAGGCCAAACATGTGAAATCAAATACAAACCATGGGGATTCTATGGTGTTTCTCTCCCCCAAAAAAATTGACCAACATTTGCAGAAGTACGCAGAGGTGTATCATCCTTAGGGCTTGATGAGAAGCTAAAAGTTAGATCACATGATCTATGTATGGGTTACCTTATTAACCAATCTTTGACCCCACACTTAACTGTGATATATATATGTATATATATAAATAATATTCATGTGGATGTTTCCTAAAATGTTGGTAACCATTGGTTTTCCCTCTTACAATAAGCAATCACTTGGATAGCTTGAGGTACCTCCATTTTAGGAAACCTCCCAGGCACCAGCCGAAGCAAGCGGAAAATGGCGTCGTAGGTCAAGGTAGGGCTGCGCACACCGCCTGCAGCGTCGGGAAACTTTTTAATCCGAGAAACATGGGAATTTTGAGAAGATCACCCTGACTACCCTCTGGTAATTTAACATAGCTATGGAAAATCACCATGCTATCAATGGGAAAATCCACTATAAATGGCCATTTTCAATAGCTATGTTAAATTACCAGAGGGTATTGGCTAAAATCCTGATAATTAAACAGAACAATCATGAACTCATCGACACGAATTTGCGCAATTTGCGATGGCTCCCTCAACATCAGGGTCTGCTTCATATATATGATTGATGATGTATTATGATATATTCATGGTATATTAGACATATTAATGGTATATATTAATGGTAATAATCACATATATGCCATTTAAACCATATATATGGTACAATTAATATTGATGGTATTAATGTATAATATACCATATATACCATTAATATTAATGGATTATTACAGAATCTCCAAATCAATCCATCAATCCATCTGCCTGGCATCTGCCCCGTTTCCAGCGCACGCTGCAGCGCCGTGAGGCGTCGCAGCAGTGTCTCCAGCTCTGACCGCTCTGACAGCTCTGACTCGCCGGCTGGGAGACCTGGGCGGTGGTAATGGTAATGGTTGGTACCAAATGATATGAATTCCCATATAACCTATGGTACAATGGTATTGGTTGGCATATCTATCAGAATCAGAAATCATTATTCCTATGATATTCTGGAGTTATAGGTAATTACCAGATGATCAATGGGCAAGGCCATATGTTGGGGTTATATCTCCTTACATAGGCCTTACTTAGGCCTTATATATGATAGGTACCTCCAATTTGGGTTCCTGGAATGGCGATTGATATGATATAAATTCCCATGTAACCTATGGTAGTGGTTGGTATATCAGAATTCATTGTTCCTATGGTATTCTGGAGTTATATACTATTGTTGTTGAGTAATACCATTACCATATCATATATAATTACATAGGGTATATATATATATATTTATAAGCTAGTTGGTAATGGTTGGTTGATATTGATTGATATTGGTTATAATGTGGACAAAACAATAAACCACCCATGACTGGGAATGGTAAACATACCACCTATAAACATGGTAATTTGGGGGATGGTTCATTATTGTTTTCCAACACTATACCAGATGAATCTAGATTATTGGTTGGAATTGTTTCGCATATACCAGATAAATGGTTGATATTTGTTGAAAACACTGGTAAAGTAATGTTGTAATGTTTATCCACCAATCATCTGGTAATGGTTGGAAATGCTTAAGGCATACCTTCCTCAAGCCATTCCCAGATGATTGGTTGATAAACAGCTTGCAGGTGTTCTCCTTGCAAGCACAGGCACGGAAAAATGGTGCCAGTTGTGTTGTGGACAGCAGCGTAGGCGGCATGATGATTCTGGCTTGAAAGCGTGACCTGACCAGGGTCCAACTGAGCAACTGATCTGAGAGATGGACAACATCAATCATAGCGGCTACTGCACATGGTGCCACCCTACTACCAAAGAAATGTCCATCCAGAACTGATGGATTGATCGCTCATTATTATATAATCAGTTACTCATGGATCCTCCCTTGGTTCTACTGGACAGCCCTTTCTTCACAAAGATAAACACAGTTCACGGACCATTGCAGAGACATCACACAACAAACTGTGCTGACTGTGGCAGCTGCTGAACTATGAGACTGAAGGAATTTTGGAGCCATGCTTTTCATTTCTTGATACCCGTAAACCCTTGTTTTGCTGGAAGATTTCATCAGGGGGCAATTCACAAGCTAATTTGATTCAAATTTGATGTTGACTCATGTCTCACACTTCGGGTGCCCACTCCGGATCCAGCGTCTCTTTGATCAGGCAACAACCAAACGTCCAGGGACTTAAGTTCCTGTCTATGCAATTCCACCAGTCGGGCATCTAGAGGTTACATTCAAAGTAGATCTATGTTTATATATCGAAATCGACAATCTGATTGAGGAAGTTGTGAGCAAACCGCAGGAGGATCTGGGAAACAATTTCGCCCACAAATTTCTTAAACTCCTGAAATTGAAAGCACAACATTTGTATATATCAAAAACTGTTGAGCCATATTTCAGCACCAACATTTTCCCCATATCTTAGGGGTGCAGTTGGGGTCATGAATGGTTTTATAACTATGGTATACTATGGTTATATATATATATAATAATGTTGTATTTGGGGTCACTAATGGTTGTATACAACATTGTATACAACGTAACTATGGTTATTTCTAACATCATAGAAATATTGGGACTGCCATGTTATTTCTAACTATGGTTATTCCCAGTACGTACAACATTATATACCCTCTGGTAAACTAACATAGCTATGGAAAATCACCATTTTTAATGGGAAAATCCACTATAAATGGCCATTTTCAATAGCTACGTTAAATTACCAGAGGGTACCAACTGTGGTAGGCAGGGATCCAACGATCTCTGATGATCCAACGCCTCAGAGGAGGATCCAAGGGATTGCCAGGCCAGGGTGGACATGGCACCGCCAGGGCCACGACGCGAAAATCTTCGTGGACACCTTGAGACGTCGATTCGTGGCATGCAGGTCGATTGATGGCAACTGATTGAAATCTCCATATGTTTTTTTCGGACTTGTCTATGGATGGATAATTTAAGTTGTACAAATTCTATTAAATTCTAATTTATAGATCTTTTGATAAGTTGGTGGATAAGAATTAGCTGGTGGATAAATAAGAATTCAGGAAAATCTACACTCTACACATTTGATGGATGATTCCCCTTTTGGGATACGGGATTGTCTGAAAATAGGGTATGTGGGTATGTCCTAAAATCCTATGATGAATAATCACAGCCGTTCTTCAGCAGGCGGTCCACTTGCTGTGTGTAGCCCATAATATGTGCCGGTGCGAGGAGCAAATGGTTCATTTGGTGAAGCATGTTTTTCGCTCTTTTGCTAATTTGTGGATCTATCGTTAGGTGATCCCTTACCCACTAGTCACAAAATCTAGGAAGAGACATTTGCTTGGCCCATGATCGTGATGATGATCATCATCGTGGTCATCGTCATTGTCGTCAATTGTCGTTATCTTCATCCTCATCCGCTTCCTCTTACATCTGCCAGCCAGTTATTGTTCAAGAAAACTGGATGTATACGCAACATAACGTGATTTTATGAAAGTGTTGACAGGGAAGATGGCCTATTCCCAGAACCTCTCTTCTTGGCACATTTCCAGCTGTTGGTGACATCCCTGCTTTTTTGACTATCATGCACCATGGGACTGGCACAACTTCTATACTACTATACTGCTGGCATGGCGTCTCCCAATTTGTTGTTCATACATCCGCAGATGTGGATGTTATAACCCATTGGACCCATTGGACCCATGCGAAAGCTGGCCCCAGTGACTCCTGCCAGGACACGTACCAGCTTCGCTTTGCCTCGCAGTTTTTGATTTGAGCCGTACATCCCAGACCCATCAGCTGCAGATCTTCCACCTAGTGGGTTAAAAAGTGTTATGATAAGTTACAATATGACTATGGCCCAGTTACGATTCCTGGGATGCACTCCTCCCAAGTACTGCATCCCTGTGAACTTTACCATTTCTCTTTCTTTTTGCAGAGAGTTTCCATCCCAGCCTTCCTCCGCGCTGATTTCCTGCTGGGACAGGACGTCATATCTTCGCGCAGGGATCAGCCTCAACATATCATGGATGTCTCATTTTTTTTGACACACAAATTGAATGTCACAGCATCGGAACAGTATTCACATGAATATTTTTGAGGCATAGCTGTCACTGTCATATTGCTCAAATTTCCAGTGTTGAATCTTGTGGGGCCATCCCAAGAAGGGCCAAAGCCATGGCTTGGGCACATCCAGAATCATGTTCCCAGTGAGAACTCCCATGCAGCAAAGTGGCAGCCGACCATCATCTAACTGCATCTCTCTATTCCTCAACACACCGAATAGTAGTGAGGTCTAGTTCCAAATCTTTTTCAAGTTGGATGCAAACAACAAAAACGAACAAGACAAACATGGGAAATTAGTGGGATATAATTCAAAACGATTGGCATATGTATGTATGTATGTATGTATGTATCTATTACAAAAAATATTTTTATTTGTCTCTGAAAATGGGGTACCCCAATGCCAATGGATCATGATAAGCCGGTGAAAGTAGGTAGGTGTCACTCACGTAATGATGGCTCGATGATGGAGGCATCACTTAAGGCCTCCAGGATCCTCAAGGCAACAGGCATCAAAATATCTCAATTTACCATTCCCAAAGTGCCATAGACCGAATCACCCATCCCAATTTCGGAAAGTCTGCCGATCCCTGGCGGGGTCTGTTTTTTCAGAATCTTCGTTGGAGGGATGGTACCAGTGAAATTGTCAAGGTTCTCAAGCAAGTTATTCAGCGTTGGCAGAACATTTCGCTCCGCCTGCAATGCGAGGCAAGGCGAGGCAAGGCGAGGCTTTGCACCCCCAAGATGTTAGGGACAAAGACCGGGCCTCTGAAACGGCAACTTGTTTGGATCACACGTGTTCCCTACTGATTCCTCCAGGAGATATTTCACAGGGATGCAGGCTGACCATCCCTGGCTGCCATGGCTGGGTCCCAACCATTTCATTGAATCACTGGAGTTTCCTATATCTCAAACAACTGGTTTTTCGATTGAAAATGACCCATTTTGGAGGATTTGAGGTTTCGCCATTTGGGAACCGACCCTTTGTTTCTTTGACGGACAAGTTCCCCCCGCGGCCCTGCCGCCCTCACCTTCTCCAGCCCGTCAAGCACCTGGAGTAACGCTTTAGGCTTTAACCATCAAGGGCCAGGAAGTATAGCTTGGCATCAGAAAGAACACCTCAAACCAGTGTAATCTACAAATATCTACAGTATGTTGTGGACTGAAGCGGCTTTGATGCAAATGATGGACCTATTTGGTAGCCTCTCCAGATTCATCAGGAAGTATCCTGGACCCAGTTCCGTGGCACGTCGCTTGAACTGAGAAACTTGAACATTGATCTGGGTAAATTATAATATTTCACTAACCTGAATTAAGGCCAGCTATGGGGATGATTTCCCTTATAAACCACGGATTTCCAGTGAGCTCGTGGTGAGGTCGTGATGAAATTTACCCAGATTGATGAAACGTCGCTTGTCTCTGGCTGAACTTCGCCGGGAAAAAACACTTTAAAAGCCCTTGGGTCACCGGGTCGGTGAAATCATGTGGTGTCACTGGCCCGATCCCATAGTTGGGGCATCCCAGTGAGAAAGTGGGTAACCACATTCCAACCCAATTAAATATATATATATATATATAGCTCCACATACATTTATATTGCATGCTTTTATAGAATATCCTCAATAATCATCAATAATCCCTAGTTTTGTCGGTTCTACACACACTGGTTGGTGGTTTCAACCCCTTTGAAACATATGAGTCAATTGGGATGATTATTCCCGATATATGGAAAGTCATAAAATTCCATGGTTCCAAACCACCAAGCAGCACAGAGAATCTGAGTGCCCGTGCCAGCACGCGGCCTCGCAGGGCGCAGCGCACAGGAGCGCTGTCTGCGTAGATCGTGCGGCTGCCCAGCCCGCTCCTGACAGCGGTGCAGCGGCTGGTCACCGGGTGGTCCGATAGATAGATCATTCCCTGTTGACCAAGTTGACCAAATTCCTGATTGGTAGTCATCCTGGTAGTCATGTAGAATTCAGAAAAGAATATCAGCTACGATTTTACGATGATTTTCTTGTGTATATCTATAATTTATATTGTTCATATGTACAGTATGCATATGTGTAATTATATATATACTCATATGTACAGTATGCATATGTGTAATTATATGTATATATATACACATACATTATAATGTACATACACATACCATTTCGTACCTCTCTGACATGTTTTCCATCTTGTTCTAGGATCGCTTTTTTTCCCAGACATTTTCAGCAACCAGCAGCACTAACATCATGGATGAACTTGTGGAGGCGGGGCTGGTGGATCCACCTCCCCTGCTTCAAGCCGCCATCCCCTCCGTCACGCCGGAACATGAGATTATCAATTTTGAGATAAAACCAAAGTTTTTTTTCCTGGTAAGATTCAATGGCAATTTCAACATCATCTTATCATATTTATTCTTGTATTGCATTTTGAACCTGGATAACAATCTCCCCCTAAACAGCGTATTGACCAGGCACACCCAATGGCTTCACCCCATGAAACTTTCCAATGATGGCGCATTTTCTGATCAAATCATGGTTGCGAAATCATCGGCCTCTTCAACCGGGCATTAACTAGGGGTAAACAAATCTTATCTTGATTACATTCCACTAGAGTAGCAAAGATATGGAACGGAACGTCTATACCATTCGCAGATCACTCTCCTTAGGTTTCATGGATTTCCAGGATTATGTTGGTTTGCTGATGATGACTGAAACCAACAAAAACAACTGACCTGACCTCCCAAACATATTTATGTAGTGCTTCTAGATTCATATAATTATTTGTGTATGTGTGAATTTATTTATATATAACCTCTGGTAATTTAACATAGATATGGAAAATCACCATCTTTAATGGGTAAACCATCTATAAATGGGCCATTTCCCATGGCTATGTTGAATTACCAAAGGGTGTATATATATATATATTATTGAAATCCCCAGTTTTGTCTTATTCTTAAGTGCCCGTCCCCCAACATGTTCATTACGTCGGATGTTTTGAGATTCAAAGCCGTCAGATTTCTGAGGTTTTCCCATGGTTAGCTGGGAAATCCCTGGAAATTAAGCTTTCATTGGGAACATCATCGAACTAAATCGGGAATTGTTCATTGCCATGTTTGATTAGCAGAGGGGGATATCCCAGTATCTAATCCTTTTACATTTTACTTCTCATTCAATCTCCATCATATAAATCACATATATTGGCTGGTCAATAATATTAAACCGATGGTGCTGTCATTCGTGGCTTAAAGCATGGTGTCATCTGCATCAAATCCCCTGAGGCCCATCCCCTTGTTACATCCCATCTGGGCTATCTTGGGGAGGATTCCCCTTACGAAACCATGGATTTTACTGAGGGAGAACGAACGAACAGTGAGGTCGTGATGAAATTCACCCAGATTCCATCCGGATAACATTCCCCAAGAAATCCCCCAATTTTTCCATCCCCTTCTTACATCCCATTGGAATCCCATCCGGATACCCTCTGGTAAACGTTTACATAACTATGGAAAGATCCACCATGCTATTAATGGGACAATCCACTATTTCTATGGGTCATTTTCAATAGCTCTGTAACAGTCATTACCAGAGGGTACCATTCCCCAAGCACAACGTTCCCAGCACCGTCCCCAGGTCAACACTTCGCCTGCTGAGTTCCCGCCGTTGCTTGAGGTCCGACTCCGTGGTGTCCCGTGTCACGGTCAAGACCTCCGCCTCGCGGCCCTGCAACTCACCTGACTGGCGAAACGCATGGCGAAACCGGCCAGTTGCAGGACTTAGTTTTTTTAAATGTTTTTTTGAGATGAAACTGGTGGAACATAGTGGAACATGCTTTTCTGAAGATTTCATGAACTCAAGGGAATTCACTGAAAACAGCACATATGGATCACATATTGGGATTTGACTGTAACTGATGGGAGATTTTGGAGATTTGCACATTTATTGGAGATTTTATCATGGAAATTGAGATTTACCTGGCAAGATTGGGGATTCCACCATCATTTTTTTTTTGGATATTCACCAGCAAAAACACACCGGCACGTTCCGACATGTATCGCCACCCCGAAACATCTGACGCGTTGTGGAACAGTTTGCAGTCAAAGTTGGTTCCATTGTGATAGGACATACCATCCCACTGATTAATTGCCAGATTGGCTGAAAGCAAAAACCTGGGCAACAGAACTAACAAACGTATATAGCAATGTATAAACACAGATAAATACGCTAAATACCATTAATATAAATGAATTATGCAACACACATTAATTTAAAAGCAGTGGCTTACTGCTTGCGTACATGTCGATAGACCTGGGAGTGAACTACAAATGTGTACTGCCCTCAACATTCCAAGCCAGCCTAAAACTTTAGGCACATGAAACATTCCCAGCTTCTTATTAACTTGCTGTAGCTACCCTCTGGTAATTTAACATAGCTACTGAACATGGCCTATTGATAGTTGATCTACCTGTTATGTCCTACCTATAAATGGTAATTTTCCATAGCTGTTAGTTTATCCAGCCTCAAAAAGAGTAGCCCAAAATCTTTGATCCACAGAACAGGATGCTTAAATACACAAGCAACAAACACATTTTGTGAACCTCCTGGCACAACATTTTGGATTGCCGGACCCCTAATGGTACCCCAAATTTGATGGTCATCATTTTTCCCAACCAAAACAAAACATAGGATAAATCCACCAAAATTGGATAAATTCTTCATTCCATGACTCACTGGTTGAATCCCTATCTGGTTGGTGGTTTTAACCATCTTGAAAAATATGAGCTCGTCAATGGGAAGAATTATCCCATATATTATGGAAAAGAAAAATCTTTGAAACCACCAACCAGATTATATTATAATGACCATTGTTTCCCATGATAAAGAACCAACTGGGCCAACATTTTGTGGCTTATTGTGGCTTATAAGCACCAATAAGCACCATTTTGATTGATACAAGCAGAATTTTTCATGGTTTGATCGGTTTGATCAGTTGGATTCCCCCAATTTTTTGGGGAGAAACCACCAGAGCGGTCCCAACAAAAACTCCGAGCAGCAAAAGCGCAGCGCGAGCTGGCGACGGAGGCTACCAGGAGGACCCAACAACAGCATGTCTTGGCCTGGCGCGTTGATCGCCAAGCACAAGGTGGGCTTCCAAGTTTGTGCCTCAGTTTCACCCAACTATGTGGACATGTATAAATAATTTATAAATATATGATCCTTGTGCATATTTACAGCATCCACCATAAACCCACGTGCTATCGTAGCTATTCCTAGCAACTTTAGCTAAGTATGGGGCACCGCATTACCAGTCATGTGCACATAAACCTGTTAAGCCATGTCTCTATTAAACTCTATGACTTATTGATGATTTCAATCCAGTCCTATTCATTTTCATGGCCAATGCCAAAAAAGTGGATCCTTTTGACCTTTCAACCAGGGATATCAGGCAACACTCCAGATCAAGGACGACCTGGGCACCCGAACCCAGTTCCATTTTCTGCGCCATCCACCGCAAGTGTCCGGCGAATTCGGCATCGTCACTACCTGGGAGTGAGAAAAAAATCGGAAAGAACTACGGAATTACAAAAAATCATCTGATCATGGTTCAATATGGTTCAATATGGTTCAATAGTATTGCACATCCAAAATGGATCTCCCGTCAGTGAGAAAAAAATGTTGATCCGTCTATGACATTCAAACAAACGCAAACAGATGGGTCATTCCTGACAGACATGCCAATGGAAACTCTTAAGTAGATAAATAAAGCCAAGCTATTGTGGTGAATTCGCAAGTCTCGCATTCTTTGATCAGGGGATGTGCCATTTGCTAGGTGAATCCATAGCCTTACCGCTTGAAATTTTCGCATCAGTTGACGGTTGATTTTAATGCGCCTTGTTTGGCTTCAATTCGCATTGTTTGGCTTTCTTCAACATCCGAGGTGTCTGTTAAGTTCTGTTAGACTTCTGAAAAAAGTTTCCCCAAAAGGATCATCACACACTGCTTAGTGGACAGACATTGTGGATGATGCTCACAACAGTAACAGCAATAATAACAATACACAATAACAACAATAGATCTAAAATCATATAATAAAAATAACAGTAAGAATAAGAATAATATAAAATGTGTAAGTAAGAACAACAACTACGTACAAGAACAATTATTCCCCTTTACCATCATTTATGGATGATTTCGACCCCCAAACATGATTTTTGGGTCTTTATCTAATGAGAACTGCAAGTATGTACACTTATCATCACTTATCCATATATGGATGATGGATGGATGAGTTTACCACCCAGAGATATGGATTCATCCCATAAGTGCCCATGAAAAAGCTCGGTGTAACCTCCCTAAACCCGAGTTAGTTCTTGGACTTATACACCAACTTAGCAAACTATGGGGCACCACCCATAGTTTAACTGGTGAAAATCCCAGAAGTTCTCATAATTCCCATTTTTTTTGTTCCCATTTTCCCATTTACAATTTCCCTACTATGGTCAGTACCATTAATCCCATTAAACCAGGTCCTATAGGATATCATTTATCCCATTACCAATCCCTACTAATGTGGTAAAACAATAATACACCATCTCCCAGTCATCACCATTTTTATAGGTGGTGGGTGGTTTATGGCATTGTTTTTCCCACATTATAACCAATATCAATCAATACTTACGAATAATCTAGATTCATCTGGTAAATAACCAATATATATATATATATATAACCAATATCAATCATTATCAGCCAACCATTACCAACCAGCTTATAATATCTATATATATATACCAGATGTAATTACATATACCAGATACATCCAGATACATATACCATTACCATCACCAATCCCCAGCCAGGTAGTGCATCCTTTTGGGGGGCCACCAACTTGGCCGCGCCTGGCGGTACATCAAACTCTCTGGGCACCGCAGCGCTGCGCGTGGCGCTGCGCGTGCTGTGCGACGCGACCAGCTGCGCGGCGAGACGCCGCGTGCGCGCCGTGGGCGATGTGGGGGCCATGGCGGTGGTGGATTCACTGGGATATCTTGGGGATAAATGATGTCTATATGTACATCATATGTATATATATATATATGTATGTATATATATATATGTATCTATATATATATATGTATATATATAATTAATACATAAGTATATGTGTGTATATATATATGTATATGTTGATCCTAGTCTTTCAACTGAGTGACACTTTGCACATTATCCTGCTTCAGCAGATAATCATTGGGAATTAGATCAGGAATTCATGAGGCAAATGTCTAGAGTTTCACATCCAAATCAGTGATTCGAGGGATTGGCAGGTGAAAGCTGTGAATTCAAACTGCCTCCGCAGGTGCATGCTAAAGTTGGTGAAAATGCTTGAAGCCCATCCAGCCATCTGTCACATTGAAGCCATCCTTTATTTGGTCTCTTGCAACATACCCATAGTGAATCGAGGTCTACTTGAGCAAGTGCATGAACACCCTGCTTAAAGAAAACGTATCTGTTTGATCCGACAGAATATCTGCGACCCAAATGTCTGACCTTGGATGATTAGTCCCCACTCTGATTTCATGTAGGTTCCAGTTTCTTCCAAGTATGTGTTTCTCTCAAAGATTTGCGTCTCCACCATAGGAACTTGATTTTGCGGGGCCATCCTTGCTTACCTGGATTTTTCAAGCTGGCCCTTCCAGCCCTGAAAGCTGCCAAGTGGCAGCAAACCAGCTTTGAGCCGCCCGGACAGAACTTGGCGAGTCAAGGGCCAAAGTCGGGACCCCCAACTTGGTCATTCCCCAGAAAGAAAGATGCTTCCAGGAGCTACTTCGATGATGTTTTCGCCATTCCAGGTTTCCTATTTTTTCAACAACTATTTTACGGCTGGTACAGCAGAATACGTCACCAACATCGGCACCCATAGGTTTGGGCACTCTGTACTCATTGCTGTAGGATCCGGGGGACCTGCCACCATGAGATGACGTTACCATCGACCACTTTAAGGGCAACCCCAATATCTAAATCTCGAACATACCTGAAGAGGGCCACCATGGCTGGCTCAAACGACCCTCACCATCCATATACAGAATGATATGGAGCATCACAGCGTTTCCGAACAGTTATTGAGCAACTTGAAGTCAGTAAGCTGTACATAGCTCCTGCAACCCCCAACGATCAATGGTTGATACTCCATACATATGCTACCCTCTGGTTATCTAGCCTGGCAATGGACAATCCCCATTCAAAGATTGTTTTCTTGCATTCCCCGGTCCCCGTTACAACATGTGTGTATACATATATATATATATCAATGTAATTCAATGTATATACATGTATATACATGTATATATCTATAAATGGACATATACATGCCCTATCCATCCATCCATCCATCCGTCCGTCCGTCCGTTCGTCCAAACAAGCACATGTACATCATATATATATATACATAGTTATATAAGTTATATATATATATACATACAATCGGTACAATTATTTAACATAATATGCACATAATATCGACATGTGTTTACGTTCCATCGAATAACTGCAGGAATGATCGCAGGACGGTTCTTCTCTCGCACTGACTCGCTTAGGTCCGGCTCCTACCAATTTAGTGCTGAGAGTTGCGTCTCGAATTAGGCGCCGGTTCGGCTCAATGCATCTGTCATAAGTGGATTCTTCGAAGCAGATCGGCTGTTTCTGCACGGATTCTTGGGCTGTCAGAGTCAAAAAGATCATGAGAGGATACGCCGTGACATTCACACCTACATCTATAGATTTATAATGTTATATATATATATACACACTCATACCATTACCTCAGTAACAGAGAAATTCAGTTCATTCTCACCCGGGTGGAGAACCAGATTAGCAGTTGGAAGAGTAGTTGGGGTCCAGACGACATTCCCAGGTGGTTGGTGGTCACGGCCTAGCCACAAAGCATGTCAAATAGATCCAAATGGGTGTGGTTCTTCAATAGCCTGGACCCACAAAGTATGTCATTTGATGTCAAACTAGCAATACCAAACCATCCGATTCCTTGCCAACATGTTTCGGCCATGACCAAAGAATAATCAAATAAGAACACATTTGCTCAAAGAACCAGCACCCAGCCAACATAAATTCTGGGTAAACTAAATTTCACTCCCCGGGGAGATAAGGCCAGCTATGGGAATGAATCCCCTTACTAACCATGATTCCAGTGAGGTCACTATAATTTGCCAACATTTTTATGGTGTGACTGTTTCAACCCACATCATGACGTTGGATTCACTCGCGGAGGCCTCAGCCGGTTCGGCCTCGCTGCGAGTTGGTGGGCATGGAGCATGGGATTGGGGTAAGTTGTCCTTATGTCTATCAGACATGGGGGTTTCCATAAATGGAGGATCCCCAAAATGGATGGTTTATAAGGGAAAATCCTACTAACATGGATGATTTGGGGGTACACCTATTTTAGGAACCCCCCAAATTTGCGTTCTAAGGATGGGTGACAACTATGACTCAAGGGTGTGTTTGCTCGTTGGCAACAGTGCAAAAAACAGCTACTGACAACGAAGGGTTATCTTGGCCTCCGTTATTCCCTGTGCTGCAGGAACATCAGAAGATGTGGGTATGGGTCAAACTTGGGTCAAATTTATGGTACCCTCTGGTAAACGTTTGCAAAAAACTATGGACAGATCCACAATTTTTAATGGGAAAACTAAGTATTTCAATGGCCATTTTCAAGTTCGCAAACTGTTTGTCATTACCAGAGCGTACCCATGGACCCACATGAGGCTGATCTTTTCCAGCCAGCCAACGGTGGTGCTACAGATTTAGCCAAAATGTTGTCGGGGGGGTTGGCATATTTCAAGCATGCCGAGCGTCAAGCGCCAAGCTGTATTTCTGACTTGGAGCCATGGGAAATCAACATCACTGAGCGCCAGAACTGTTTCCAAACAGAAAGCTAGTCCAAACAACTTGCCAAAGTCAGAAATGTAGGCCCAGGGGCACACGATTGCAATTTCAAAGATACCATTCCTACTCGATCTGAATATATAAGCTGCTTGTCAATTGGTGTGACATTGGGAAGTTGAACATTCAAACAACATCGAGAGCCGCATGTATTTGTAAATCCGGTGTCTTATCCCTTGCAGTTCCTTGGTTGCAGCAGTGTACAGTTTGCAACAATCTGTTTGAGATACTTGCAGCCTTTGGACTCTGGCTTGAAGCATGCACTACATGGGGTTATATGATATATGGGGTTGTGTGCGGATGTATATGTATATATATTTATAATCATAATATATATATACATCACGGTGCATTTACATGGCACATACTGTGAAGATTCATGCAACATCGTGCAACACCACGGAATTATGCCTGTTCTCTTCTGGTAAGAAAGTTGTCATGATCTCAACCCCCAAAATGTGCCAGACGGCACCATCATCCCGACTGATTGACATGGCATCTGCACCATCATACACCTATATTTTGATATATTTTGATATATTTTGATACGTAATG